AGCAGAAGCAGCCCTTGTTGTTAGGGCTTAGCGAATAGTCCCCTTATGTCCCTTATGGCTTCACTTGGTATTTTTTACTTAGCACTAAAGAGTAGAAAGCGTTCCACGGATATTTCATGCACTCTTAGTACTACGTATTGTTTGTAAATGAGATTTTCGTAGTGGGTTTCGTCGGACTGAAAAAATTAAGTACCGTATTTGCCGGTGTATAAGTCCACCTTTTGAGCCGTAAAAACGACTTGTACAACGAGTATAGAAAGCTACCGCTTGATTTTCACTTTTGTTCATAGAAAAACAAATGGAAATTTTCTTTAAAAGCATTTTTTGAAAGTATTCTTTGTAGAATTTAGAATGTTGATGTATCGTTTATTGAAAGTAGCCGGTGACTAGACGCATCTAGAAGTTCTGTCTACGATTTCGTGTGTAGCACGTGAAAATCCATGTGAAACATGTACTCCGTGTTGACAATTATAGTCCGCGKTGTTTAATAGTTTCTACTATTTCAMAGYCCGTGAGCAGTGTTTTTCCCCCTTATACTATAGGTTTGGGATTTTAACCTTATAGATTGATTACATGTAATTAACTGTTAAAATAGCTGTTTTTCGTCTGCTGAATTASAAATAAACATGCCAGAGTATAGATGYCGTGATATATKTCAAGGTACGGATGTTTATCAATCAGTTATACAAGTTATCAGCTGTCTATTAAAAGCACTTATAGACTTGACACTCTTGAGAAGGCCGACATTCCGGTGCTTCTTTTATAAATATATCAGATTAGCGTTAAAGATGAATATTAGCCGCTTGTTTACGATATTCAGTTCCCTCTTAGTGAAGCTTTTCCCGCCAACGTTTACGTCTGTGATGTACAATGTACAGTATAACATTGAAATCGCCGAACAGAGAGAAAAAAGCAAAGCGAGCAAAGRCAATTCTACAAATGCGGCTGGTGCTGTGTGTTTACAATATGTGCAGTTCTCTTGGAGCGCTTTCGCCAAAGTGTTGGACGTTAATTCGTGTCTCTGATTAAGAAGAAACAATTCAAGTCGACGAATATAGCGAAGAAAAAGAAGAGAACAAAGGTAATTGACAAATGATTAATTAACATAAATAGGTCAGACAAATTCACGAAATAACACGGGCATAAATAGATATATCGCATCCATATATAATCCGAACGCAACTTTTAACAATTGTACAATAGAAATATGTTTCGTACTTTCAACTTTAAAGCTAGCCGGCTCTTTAAGATATGTCTACTTCAAACTTGGAAAGTAATGGGTCGATTGTCGCGTGTTTACAATGCTCGTTTCTCTTGCCTCGTTTCCCGTTTTGGTCAGTGATCTATTGTATAATACTATAACAATCCTTGAAAGATAGCGAAAAAACTGAAGAGAGCAACAAAGGTAATTCCACAAACGCTTGCATTATGTATCGATTCTCGTGTGTGTGTGTTTTTTTTTAATGTGCAGTTCACTTGAAGCGTTTCCCGCCAAAGTTCTGTGATGTGCAATAATAGTATTTTTAAAAGTTAAAATAGCCACCGAAAATAACGAAGAAAACGAAGAAAGCAAAGGTATTAAATTTGCAAATAAATATACACACAGAAAAATTCACAAAAAGACGGACATAAATGTTTAGCGCCCCGATACTTCTAACGTCTTCAACTTGTCATCAAGATACTTCGTTTACCATTATTCCCCCTAGTGATTAGGGAATTTGCTTCACGATCCCCAGTCAAAAGGGACTATCAGTACTTTCCCCTAATGGTTGGGGCTCTTGACACTCAGGGATCGTTATACCCCTAATGACAAGGGGAAATTATTGATAATCCCTAACGGCAAGGTCTTATGGCTGAAGGGACCTAATCGATAGGTCAAAACTATTGAGGACGGATTTAGATTTCGCGGTCGGAATTAAATCGCGCAGTGTTTAACTGTATATTGCAAACATGAAAAATTATCGTACTAACATATTTTTTTTATTTAATATCATCTGCGTAGGATAATTGTTTACCAAAGTAATTGCAATATCAGCATACGAGAAAGAAATGAATTTAACTACATGAAGTGCTCATGGTTAGCATGCATGTTTTGTTTCATGGCTATGAAATGGACCTTTTCTTGTATTTTTGTACAACGATGTGTAATTTTCTCTTTGTACATCAACCAGGCACGGTAAAATTTGTACATATAATATAAACTACATGAGAAGTGAATTTCATATTTATTTGAGAGCCAAGCAAATTATTTATCACTTAAACATTTATAAACCTGACACATAAAGTTGAAATTATTTTATTTTTCAAAAAACTTAAAAATATTACCTGTTTTAAGCTTAATACTATTAATGTAATAAATACTTTGCATCATATATTGGCGGAAAAATTATATGCAACATCAAAAGTCATCAATTCTCAAAAGTAGGGCAGACAATTCTCATAGAACAGGCACCAAAATAATTCAAGTTATAAGATGCACTCTTCTTTAACACTGAAGCAAGCTTTAATAAAAAATCTTGTTCTTCCTTCCTTCGCTTTTCTTCCCTTTCCTCTTCTCTTTTCTCTCTCCCCATCTCAGCTTTAAAGAAAGTAGTATCAGCTTCACGTTGGGATTTCATGAAATCCGCCACGACACTATTCATTTGGTTTAACACCATTTCACTGGTCGTCCTTCGCTTCTTCGGGGCACATATTTCTCTATTATTCATAGAAAGAAAATGTTCACTGTACAATAAGCTTCATCCATTGTTTGCAAAAACAACGAATTAAAACCATGAAAACCGATGAAAATCTCCTAACTACAACTACACTGTACGCCATTTTGAACTAGTCACATGTCATGTGATATTGTAAACAATGTAAACAATGACCAGAAAGACTACCAACCTTCAACGTTGACATTTTCTACTTCTACGACTTCACCTCCTGTCTCTCCTTGCCCATCTCCTTCCTCGTCTTCTTCATTTTCCTCCTCTGCTTCCTCCACATTGTCATTGTCATCGTGTTGGTTTTGCTTTGTGGTCTCCTTCGCCGGTGTTTTTGGCCCTTCGTTTCGCAGCGAATTAATAACCACATTTGGTCTGGTACACGGTCT